ATTAATTATTTAATAAAAAATACATTAGAAACGTAGTTATATGTTTTATATCAATTATTAAAACACATTTTGTATAATTATACATTTTCTCTCTCATTTTCTTTTATGACTCCTATAAAAATAGGCTTATAAAATTATTTAATGAAAAAGTTAGGCAACCAATTACAGTGTCTCTAGAATAAATATTTCAAACAATTCTATGAGTATGCATCGAGTTATTCATCTTGAGCGCTCGAAATATAAAAAATTATGATTTACAATATTCGTACAATATCGCGATGATTCTACCCCGAAACGATCGGTGAATCATTCATCAACTATGATGAATGATTAACGAATGCTCCGACACAACGTTAACACGATGCGACGCGGCGGCGGTTCGATAGCATGCAATTTCCTTAAGTTGTCCTTAATTATAACGGCCCTGCGAACGTACGCAAGCATCTTTAAAAACGATCCACGGACTCGTTTATCTGCGTTCGTGGAATTCATACTCCTCACATGCATGCGTAAAAAGAGAAAGAGAAAAAATAAGAGAGAAAAAAGTAGAGCGTCATACGAAGGCAGGGGAACTCGTTATTATTAAAGGGAGGTGTGAAACTGGCTGTGTCGCCTTCATCGGTCCGTCCGCTGATTATTTGCATTTCCATTAGCGCGACAAACGTGCAATGCACGCATAAAAAGCACGCGGAAACGCATTAAACTAATGATACGGTCCTGCATTCGCCACACGACGAGCGTTGCGTGGGTGGCAAAAACTTACTTATCGAGCAAGTATGCACCGCTATAAATACAGGTTGCGAGCGCGATCACGTCGATCGCAATCGATAGCTAGTGTACTTAGCCGCGCGTCTCGTCGAATCATTTTTCTCGTCGAATTGCATACTTTGGTAGAAAGCTCCCAGGTGCGAACGGTGGCACCTCAAGCTTGCAGATTTATCGAATCTTACAGTCGTAAAGTCTCATAGAATCACAGGGGCTTTATTTATTGATGCGATACGAGTACAAAATAATATTCTCATACTTATATAACTCAATTTAAATTAAAATAAAAATATCTGATAAACATTTATGATTTTTCAAAGCACAAATAAATTTTAAAAAATATGACGAATTGCATAGGTATTTCAGATATTTCCATTTTTACATACGATTATTATTCGATTTCATTTTACAAATATTTACAAATATTTTTATTGATTTACCTTTATCTCGTAAATTTCGGAACATGTGCGGATTTCCATGGTGTAGCGAAGAAGTCGAATTTCTCATCACTTCGAGTTCCTGATCGGTCAATATGCGCCTCTTTAACCTCGCTAAAAATATCATTAGGAATGTTTATACTGTGTCGAGAAACGTTTATTGAACATAGTGATTGAACAGTGCATCTTAATATGAGTTTGTTCCAGAGAGCATATATCAAAGAAGTGCTACAAATTTTCAGGAGTGATATAAATGCTTGCTAACACATAATCAAAGGTTTTTTTTTTTACAGTTCGAGTAAAGTAAAATAAATTGACAACGCCAAGAATAAATAAATAAAAAACTTAAAAATTTTCTTTGTAAAAGAAAAGGTTATTTCTCCAAAAATATACTAAAAATGTATTAAAATAGTGAGAAATATGATATATACAAATTATTTGGAAACTCTTTTCTCTATTAATTTTCTCATTTTTCATTTTGTGTCATTAAAACTAAAATGATGAAATTCTATTTCATAGTTCATTGTTATAATCGATCACTTAAAGAATTTTAATTGCAAAAGTTAAAACGTGTATTTAAATGTAATGTGTGTAACGTACGTCGAGGTTCGGCATCAATGACACTGTCAAGAAAGTCTTGCGGAGTCATGTATAATTGACCATCGTAAGCCACTGATGCGAACTTTATGAATCTTCTTTCCCTCGTTGTCAACTTTACCGCTTTATGGAAGTCATCTTCTCTCTGCAACGACAAATGGTGCAATACTTTTTTTAATACTCAAAGAACAAATAGAAAGATATATAAATAAAAACTTGAAAGATGTTGAAGCAAAAATTTCAATTACCATGTATAATAAATATTTTATAAAAAAAAGTTTTAACGTTTCTAAATAATTTCCAAGATTTGATTTAAACAATAATATTGCATAGTTTACATATTATAATCTGAACTATTTCTAGCTCTTATTATAGCTTTTATTACTTTTTTTCCGATAATACATAAAAAAGGGGAACATAATTTATGCTTAATTATTAATCAAGGCATTTCAATGAACTTGATAGCGCGCGTGCGAATTTCTTCCAATCGCATGCAAGGTGCACGCATTAAATATGAGAAATCCGAACGCATAAATTCACGCTGACTTTTTCGCGATTCATACTCGCTACGATCTCTCTTTATTTAGACGAACAGACCAAGTTCACAGTTATATGCTGTAGCAGTGGTGATCAACGATTTTCCCTAATTACGTGATATTTATTTAAGATTTTTAAACTGTTTTATAGAAATTTACAATAAGATTTTAAACATAATCAGATATATTCAATGACAAATATTAAATATTAGTTTCACAATTTCAGATAAATTTTGTGTCATATTATTTTAAAGTAAAGTTATCTATTATATTATGTATTATGTATTATCTTTTTAGGAATCCCTGTATCAGTTTGAAAATACGATTAGATTCACGGTAGAGTTATAATTTCCAATGTCAAGGAGATTATCTAATCACGAGCGGTGGCAACAGACAGTATACGATGCGAATTCTATCTAAACCATTTTCTATCTAAAGCACGTTGCACTTTACGAGAACGATTAAGACGTAAGTAATCTGCATATAGTAATTTATTTAGTTAGATTTAGCGTACGATATATATATATATATATATCCATTAATTTTATTTTAAATACGATTTATCAAGTTTATCGCTTTCAACAATTTTATATCGTTGTAATCGTATTCAATCGCTGGTTCGACCTTTAGTAACATGTTTTCGTGATAAATAATAATTATTACTTATGCTGTTATAATTTCGTTATGTATTATTGAATATTAATGGCTATTATTATTAAAAATTATGAAAACATTTTAATTATGAAAATTATGAAAACATTTTCAATTTTATTCAAATGCATATTCAATTATTTTTTAAAAATTGACTAATACATGATTAGACTAAAAATCAATTTCAAAATACAGTATTTAATACAAGAGTTTTAAATAAATTGTTTATTCCATATTACTTTTTTGAGAGAATAAATAAAGACATGTCGATTCCTGTCAATATTCGTCGATTCATATACGATTTAAAATTCGAACGATTTGCTGACAAGGCCGATGAGTACATGCGCAAGATGATCATTCAATCATGTTAATTCGCACTTTTAATTCCGCTGCGTTTCTACCGAGGAACGGCGCGTACTGTCATTTTATAATAGCAAAAAAGTGCAAGTTACTGACAGATACACTTCACGGCGCATTTAAAAACATGAAAATAAAGAAATAAAATAAAGAAACGATAGTGTCGAACATTTTTTATTCAATGCAGATTCTTAAGCACAAATTTGCAGAATTAAAGCTGCATATCTTTAATCATTATCATTTTGCTATCAATCATCTTACAGTCAACTTGACACTTTAAATTATCAATTACGAAAATTAATTCGTTTTTTATGTAAAACACGAGAAATAAACGCAATAATTTAATAAACCATAATCAAATTGATATAATTAAATACAGTAGAAGAAAATATGATATTGATTATTAAACAAAATAATATAATTTTTAATTGTATTTGTGTATGCATTATTAAATTTAATTTTTTATTGTTAAATATTATATTATAAATAAAAAAAAAAATTATATATTACACATTTAAAAATTTTTTTTCTGTGTTTTACAAAACTCACTAACTTTTGCATTTTTATACATATGCAGAAAGGCAAGATAATAAACTTTGACATAATCAGCGTAAAGGAAGAAATATATTCCAAGTTGTATCCTGTTTAAGATTAAAGGAACGGCGTTTGGTCTTAAATCAACAGAAACTAGCTAATGATAGCGCGTAACACTCTCCGTAGATAGAACTATATACCATGAAATATGACTGAAAAACGTACACGAAAATTGCATGTGGCGAACAAAGCTTCGACTGCGCGTTCGTCGAGCGAATGCAATTCGAGTCGTGCCACCCCGGTGGGCGGTGGTGTCGCACTGTCTATAATTTAAAGAGAGATTAAATTACAAATGAGCTTCCACGGGTGCCATTCGCGCTCGGCGCTTTCGCGTTCTTGTTTTAATAAACGATTAAGAATGCCAGAATGAACAGCGAAAAGAGAGAGTAGCTCGCTCGGCTGGAGCTTCTCGAATTTCCGTTTCCCGGTGCTTCTTTCTGTTGGCTTCTCATCGTCGTGGGTGCTCGCACGCCCACTTTGTCGGCAGAATTTTTTATTCCTGTGAATCTTACTCGTTTCAGGCAAATTTACGCGGTTTCAGAATACTGTAAATGAATCTTCCCAAAGGACTCGAAACAAAAAAAACATCAAGTTCCATCGAGTAAAACGAACAGATCTTGCTGTAATCTAATAAAAATACAGATAATTCTATTTATAAATTTCTATCATCCCTCAATCTAAATGTAGGTAATATATTGGAAGAAGTTGCACGGTATGAATCCATGACGAGAAACTAGAGTATTTTTAGTCAACAATCTTTTTTATAACAGCAAATCTCGAATCATTCATCCGAGATAATCATCGAAAGCGCACCGTATGAATTCACCTTTACTTGGCTGCACATATAGCCTACACATATACATTGTACGCATAATATATATTATCATGTAAGTTGTAGTTAACGATATGCTGTCGCGAGGTTGGCTTAACGACGTAAATTTGCGATCTCGTCCGACCAAATTGAATCGTTCAGCCCAGGAAGCATCACATCACGGAGAACTCATTGCCGTTGTGCACCAAGAAGCCATCGGAGCTGCCTCGCCTCTCATCGGCTTAAATTATCGTTACACTCGCGAGGTGACCGGCTATCTCGCGCGTATACCAGATATTGTGCGGATTTTATTTATTCGCAAAAAAATAATGGCGCATTGTAGACCGGTGTAGCAGCTCGAGCTTCCGTATAAGATGATCTCTTAAACGACGAATATATCTTATCATTCGTATTTTCAGTCAACCGTTGCCAATTCAAATGTTGAGATCCGTTATAGATTCTCGATATCTTAGCATCAAGCAGGAAGTAAAGTAAATTGACAGATGTGCAAATCGAATTTTCAATAAAAAATAAAAATGATGTTAAAAAACGTTAAAGCATTAAAAAAAAAATTTATTGTTGAACTTAAGTTAACTTTTTGATGTTTATCGCAAAGGAATATTTGTGCAATCTAATTATTATTTATATTTTTAAATTTTTTAATTTCTAAAAAATACATTACACGATTTCAGATTTTTTTTCTCTCTTGCTTAGTGATTTTTACAAGCAGTTGTAAATATCTCACGGCTACCTAAGAATCACGTATCCTTGGCAAGTTATGTTTATCATTCGATGCATTTCCATAAGTGCCATTGTAACCAGATACTCCTTCGCGTGGATCAGGTGTCCTTTCGCGAAGTTGCTTCTATATATAAATAAATCATATTTTTCATTGCGATAAAAAAAAGCAACTGTAATGGTTTGCATTTATAATAATGCTTTTCTTGCGTTGTGACCGAAGTAAAAAAATTCTGCAAGTCTCCTTAAAAATCGCTCGGCAAATTACGTTGCTTAGAATTAATTAATAATGCAAATAATTAAATAAATTACTTTAGAACAACAACAATTTATAATAGAAGATAATGTAATTTTTATAATAGTTCTATTTTTTATTAATATATATATTGTGATGTTAATCTTTTTCAAGGTACCATCTTTTTCGTATCCGGACACGTGTGAGTAAACAAATCATTAAGAAATGATCCACATAATCGAAAAATTTTACGGTCCTTTATCTTGCAGTCTCGCAGAATCTATTTGAAACAGTAATGGGACAAAAATCATTGTTTATGCGAGCGAGGATGTTTCCACGACCATAAATCAATTCTTTCTCTCCTTTATCAAGAGACACGGTAGTGTCTCGCGCCAAATCATGCGCAGCAACAGCGAGGCACCCCGGGTATCTATACGCGAGTCTGAGAGCAATTGAGAGTACCTTAGATTAGATTATTGAACCTCAATAACGGCTGAACCGATCGTATTTTTAATAGGCTTAATCGATACCTTGGGTTTAAATTATATAATAAAAGTGTCTTTATCTTTTTTCTACATGTATCGTGAACGTAATATGAATGGAAAGTCTCAA